GGATCGAGTCCCGCATCGGGCTCCCTGCACGGCGGGGAGTCTGCTTCTCCCTCTGACCCTCCCCCCTCTCATGTGCTCTCTCTCATTCTCTTTCTCTAAAATAAATAAATAAAATCTTTAAAAAAAAAAAGGAATTCCATAATTCCTTGCAGTTGTGGCATGGGTTCCTACTGACCATTTTTGCTGACCCCCTTAAAACAATTATTTGAAACATTTAAGCTATCGTAATGAGGCAAAGTCTGCATAAGGCAGCAAGGATTAGGCAAAAGATCGAGTTCATTTTTTCAGCACATCCTTTTGAGAATCTACTATGTGTTAGGTGGAACATACACTGTGTTCTGCCAGAGACAGAGCAGTGAGTACAACAGACAAAAAGTATGGAGTATTTATTTCTGGAACACTTTTAAAGAAAGGCAGTTGTACTTTAAGAATGTGAAATCCCTTGGGGAGCCATCTTTTGCTGATGGTAAGTAGAGTATCAGTTCTGTGTGCTTCTTTCTGAAATGCCTACAACAGTTTGGCTATTTTAAATTTTCTTTGCAGTCTCATTTGCTTAATTTGTGCTGTCCTTGAAAAGATTTCCTGAAAAATACCGATCTCAATCCAGTTTTTCTAAATTTTCTAAACGTCCAAACTAAAAGATGAGTGAATTTTGGGGGCCCCCGGGTGGCTTAGTCAGTTAAGCATCTGTCTTCGGCTCAGGTCATGATCTCAGGGTCCTGGGATGGAGCCCCACGTCTGCTCACCCAGGAGTCTGCTTCTCCTTTTCCCCCTGACCCTCCCCTGATGCTCATGCTCTCACTCATTCTCTCTCTCTCAAATGAATAAATTTTTAAAAATCTTTATCAAAAAAAGATTAGTGGGCTTTTTACTCTGTTTAAATCTTTAGTTAAACGTATGCATTTAGCAGATAAATAAATATAAATACCTGTTACAGGTAAAAGGAAGTCTTATTAACTGCCTAAGATTTATCGTCATTCTCCTTTCTAGCATAGTAACAAGTCAGGGAACTCCTACTTTTGTTTCTACACAATTATATACGTCTTTTTTTGTATTAATGTGTAAGTTTTAGTTCTGTTTGTAAGGAACAAGAGTCAGACTGGAACTAAGTTCTTAAATAGCTCCTCAATGCTCCTGTTGTTCATTTTATCACAAAAGGAGATTATGGGTCAGAACCTAAATTAATCTTCCTTTCTTTTTCTTGCCCACAACACCCTTAGTTAGGAGAGGCCATTTCTTTGAATAGTGTGTCTACACGTCTTTAGAAAACTTCCTCTTGAGTATTGTGGTACCCAGGGCACTTGAAGTGCCCACCTGGAGAGGGTAATGGGAGCCATACCATAATACTCTTTCAACAAAGTCAGATATCAGGAATGAATTTTTAAAAACCAACTTGGTTTGGTATAATACGAATACATATTTTTTTCGTTTCCTTTGTAGCCCACTAGACGGTCTGCCAGATTGTCCGCGGTGAGTACTTTAGAACCCCCTTGTTGTTAGTTCTTATGAGTCCATGTTCCCTCTGTTCAGGACGAAGCAGCAGAAGGAAGATTAAGGTATTATTTCCCTTGAGTTTTTTTATTTCCTTTTTGGAAATTACCTGGGTCAGAATTTCTAGCAAACGTGACCAGTGTTGCCAAGCAATTTACTTGAGCAGATAGGTCACTGAAAAGTCACACGGCCACCCCCATTACCAAGAGTATAAAGCCCGGGAAGTAGTTGGACATTGCTAGATCTCTGCAACAAAAGAAGCACATTAAGCCAAGTCCTACCTCCTGATTCCACATGATGTGCTAAGGTGGACAAGAATTCGGAGTCTCCGCGGCTCATGCTTCCATCAGAATGTGCTGAAAGCTATCAGAATCCATGTGCTGTAGCCTCATTTCAGAACCAGAGAATCTTTGAAAAAGTAATGATTCCACTTTGCCACTCAAGAGTCTCCCACTGTGGGTGAGGCCTGGGGAATAGACAAGGGTTAAGATCATTAGGTGTGACCAAGCCTTGGCCATGAATGGGTTCCAGCCCTTCTCACCGTGCTGTGCTCCTTGGTGGCTCTCATGCTCCTCCTTGCTGTCCTGCCGGTTTACCAGTCCTCACTCCGCCAAGACAGGTGGTCAGCCTGGCTCGCTGGTGGAGGAATTTGGTTAAAATAGCTGCCCCCCAGGCTGCGCACTGAGATGTAGGGAGAAAGGCGTTGGCTTCTTGGCCGCCAGGAGCTGCTCGCTCCTTTGGCCTTCAGGGAAGCATGGCTTCCATCCTCGGCCAACACCTGTGCCTGGCACAGAGCAGGGAAAAAATGCAGAAATGTTTAATTAGGGCACTGACAAGTTCAGAGATATAGCCGAGTTTGGGTTGGGTGAGGCAGTGCTTCACGTGAATCCCAACCTAAGAGAGCGATATTAGAGTCTCCCGAAAGATTAAGAGCCGGGAGATGTGTGTGTACACAGTTAAACTGGATTCTTCTGCAGCCCCCTTAAGATGGTGTGCTCTGTCCAATATTAACTTTCACCAGGGTTCAGTAGTTACATTTTAACTTTTGTTAGGCTTAACTATAGATTATACTACAAGCCGCTATAGTCTGTGGATCTCTAGCCCATTAAGGGAGTAGACCTCCTAAATCAATAAAAACCAAAATTTAAAACCAAGCTTTTCCTGAGCACCGTGAACCAGCAGTAGAAGCACCTTCCACCAAGATCATTGCCCGAGCACCTTCCACCGAGATCATCTGCTGACACAGAGCCTCCTCAGTGGCCAGTGGGACTACAGATTGCAGAACCTCATCCTTTCTTGTCCCATCAACACGCTTGAATGCTGAATCTCTTACAGAAAATATAAAAGAAAATTATTTGCTGTAAATTGTGAAAACAAATATATGTTAATACAATATATCAAAGCCTGATACAACACAATTTTTTAAGTCCTGAAAATGTAGGAGCTCTGCAAGCTGCTGTGTTTGGGGAATAGACTACAGATTTAGGGTGGTAAGATTAATAAAAACACCCCTTATTTCTCAAGCCGTTTTCTATTTGTATTTGAAAAGTCATGTCTAACAGCCAGTCTTCTGGAATTGCACTGTCTACGATTTCCCTTTATGCCCTTGATGAACAGGGCCAGATTCAATATGAACCTGAACCACCTAGAGGCATTGCGGAGGAATTTTTCTCCAGAGGGGAAAACCTTGGGTGGTGTTTTCTGCTTAAAAGCCATTCTCCCTAGTGCTCCGAGAGAAGTACACTTATTTTTTTCTAGCTTGATGAGAGAAATATTTGCCCTAAAATAGCTATAGAAAACCAGAGGCTTAAACCCGTTATCTTCCCCAGTGTCCCCACGTGCACCCCGGTCTAGGAGCCCTGGTAAGCAGGAGAGGGCTGAAGCCCCATATGGAGGGGACCTTGGCCACAGGGTAGGCACTGCTCAGGGCAATGGGGAAGAGAACCACATGAATCAAGAGGAAAATAGTCACTTTGTGGACTCTTTGGCTAAGTTTAAGAAAAATCTTAAACTTTGGAAGCTAACAGTGGACATTTTATTATTATAATTGTGTTCTTAATAAAGAGCTCTAGGAGCAAGTGAGCCCAGTGTCTGGGTGGGTGAGAGATTCTTCTCTCACCTTGAGCTGGCATTGGAGAGGATGAAAGTAGAAGAAGCTTGGCTACAGAACTTGAAATCAACATCAGAGGTGGAAGGATGTGGAAATGATTTTGAAATACTTCACAGGCAGCAGTCTTCATTACCGGATGGGCTTTGCCTGCGATTGTGCTGTGATTTCTAGACTGTTGGGAAGGCTAGTGTGACCGAATTCATTGAGTCATTTGGCTGAGGGCCTGAGTCATTCCTCTTACTGCTGTGCTGTGATCAAAGGAAGTACAGAGACATCAGAGATGGAAGCTTAAACCTGTTCCTGGAGAGCTACTCTGGACTGGGGAATAATGAGTCGGCTTTTAAATCTCACCTGCTGTTCACTTGAGAACCCAGGATGAAAATAGTTATGAAATGCACAGATCTTTATGCTGTTACCTGATGCTGAAAATAGAATGAAATATTTTTAAATGAACAGAATCAGAGTCAAAATGGACTGTTGTCTTTTGCAATCTTGCTGTGTGCCTTTTGGTCCTCAGGGTTGTCTTTTTCAGTATTTGTATAATTTAATTTATCTTTGCAGAAACCTGCTCCACCCAAACCTGAACCTAAACCAAGGAAAACATCTGCTAAGGTAAGAGGTGCTCCCTCCCCCATGTTGGCCTTTTTTAAAACAATGAATAAATTATAATTCCATATCTAAAAATCATCCAAGGAAAGATCACATTTACTGATTCAGGCTAAACGTATGATTAGGAAAGTATCACCATTGTTAACATTCTTTCTCAAAAGGCATAAAGCACAGTTTTATGCTTTACGAGGAATGTGTTTCTCATTCGGTCAGTAAAGGCAAAGGTAGTCAGAGCATGTTGCTCCGAGAAGCCTCATGTCCAAGAGGGGTTTGGTAGCCACATGCTGTTCACATGGCGGCTCGGAAAGCGTGAGGCTGGGCCCTGGCCACAAAGTGGCCCGCAGCTCTAGGGGCTGGGGGAGGGGGCCGGACTTCCTGTAACTGGTCTTAGGCTGGGCTGATGACTCATCATACAATAATTAATACTAGCAAATAATCAACATCAGCAAACACTTCGTGGCTCTCCTACTATGCTAGACCCTGTTCTAATTGCTTTTCTTATGAAGCCGTCACATCAGTCCTACTGAGGTAGGTACACACACCCGGGTTTGCTAATGAGGAGAAAAGCACAGAATTATTAAGAAACTTATCCCAAATAGCTTTTCTGTGCTCTGCCCTTCAGAGCATTGTTGTGAATTGTTGGAAACTACATGTTATTTGGGGGGTTCCTGGGTGGCTCAGTCGGTTAAGCGTCTGCCTTCGGCTCAGGTCATGAGCCCCGGGTCTTGGGATCGAGCCCCGCAGCGTCGGGCTCCCTGCTGGGCGGGCAGCCTGCTTCTCCCTCTCCCACTCCCCCTGCTTGTGTTCACAGTCTCTCTGTCGCTCTCTCTGTCAAATAAATAAATAAAATCTTTAAAAAAAAAAAAGAAACTACGTGTATTTGTGGCATGAGTAGATGATTCTGAAGCAGAACTCACTTCTGTGGCTTGTATTAAATTCAGGAACTTTTCTTCACGTGGGGCTTCATTTTCAAGCATTTTCTCAGCCTTCTCGTCCCTCGAGCCCCATGTCCCCACGTGAGGTGTTTCTCTTGCTGGCTTCTTCCCTGGCTTCTGCCTCATCCTTCAGTTCCCCACTGCTCTTGGCGGCAGAACCACTTGTCTGTAGCGAGTGAGGAGGCCCACTGAACAAATGCATGAGGAGAATCATCATCTTTTCCTCAGAAGAGGAAGTCAGTGGACCGTCTAAGCAGCCCGTTAACATTCTCATAGAGCCTCAATGTAACTCACTTGAAGCCTTGCAGACTTGGCTTCTCCTTCCCCACCTGAAAGCCACCGTGTCGGCCATGGTTGCACTCCGCCTTGTGTTTGGACGAGGCTGACGGATTTTCACTGACCTCACACCCTGTCTAACATGCTTTGTTTCCCTGTGCTCTGACCCTCTGTTAGAAAGAACCGGGAACAAAGATTAACAAAGGTGCTAAAGGGAAGAAGGAGGAAAAGCAAGAAGCTGGAAAGGAAGGTACTGCACCATCTGAAAATGGTGAAACTAAAGCTGAAGAGGTACTTTCCATGAATACCTCCCACTGACTGACTCAATGCCTTAAAAGAAATTGCTCAATGCTTCAGCCGGTGATAGCACGTTCATAATGTCTCTTTTTATTGCCCATAATGTTATTGCAGATCCACATCTCTCGCTCAACTGTTAATGTCTCAACCTCCAGAGGTACCCCACCCAGCACACTGTCAGTAAAGGGGCAGATTGAAACAGTGAGAGTTAAGGGTACAGTAGAAAATTCTGCATGTTTGCAGTGGCTAGAAGCAGATAGTAGTAGTGTGGTGTTTTTTTATCATGAACAGTGGGAGCTTGCAGGTAAAGCTTCTGTGGCCGTTTGAAAAGCAGAAAGCAATCAATGCAGCAAAGTGTTTGCGTACTGTATTCCTGCCTTGTCTGTTTTACACCCAGAGTCGAATTAGGTTTTGCAATAGAGCTGCTAAAAAACAGATGTTCAAAGCGTGTGTGTTGGCTGGGTAGACTTTTCTTTGGCTTCTAGTACGTTTAATAGTAACTGTCTCTCTTTTTTTCCCCTTTCTTTTTCACAGGCACAGAAAACTGAATCTGTAGATAACAGGGGAGAATGAATTGTCGTGAAAAATTGGGGTTGATTTTATGTACATCTCGGGGCAACTTTTAAAAGCTATTTTTACCGAGTATTTTGTAAATGCTAATTTTTTAGGATTCTACTAGTTGCATACAAAAATATATAAGGATGGACATTTTATCTTCTCATAGTCGTGCTTTTTGGAAATTTCCATCATCCTCAAGTGAAATAAATACCAGTTTGATATTGGAAGCTGTGTGTAAGATTGATTCAGCATTCCATGCGCTTGCTTTAAAAATCGAGTCCTGTGCATACTGTGGTGTTTTTACTGTGTGTATTTAAATTTTTCACGCAGTTTTTCTAGAGCAATAATCAGTGGTGCTTTTGTACCTAGGTTTTATGTGATTTTAATGAAACATGGATAGTTGTGGCCACCTGCTGACTATTTGTGGTTTAAAATAAAAGGTTTTCTTGCCTGCAAAATACCTGCCTCTTAGTAGTGTCTTTACTAAACTTGGGCAGTGTTTCATTTTGTTGTTGCTGAAGACGTGAAGAATAGTTACAGTTTGTGCCATAATGGTATCTCTAGTAAGTCAAACAGGATGATTTCTTAATTACTGGGCCTTTAAAAATGTTGTTATTTTTAATAAGACCATCTATGAGTGCTAGCATGGAAGAATTACATCTGAAACACTCGATGCCAGAAGTGCTCAGCAATATTATAATATTAATATATCGACATATAATATTAATATATCGCCATATAATAAACTTAATAAAACACTACTTTTTAAAAGGTCTTTATAAACAGAACAGAGAGTTCTGTTAAACCAGAGCTGATGAAAAACCGTAAACTAGGGCTGATCCTTGAAAATCTGTCACTTTTGGGGTGCCTGGGTGGCTCAGTCGTTAAGCGTCTACCTTCGGCTCAGGTCATGATCCCAGGGTTCTGGGATCGAGTCCCGCATCGGGCTCCCTGCTCAGCGGGAAGCCTGCTTCTCCCTCTCCCACTCCCCTGCTTGTGTTCGTGTGCTTTCTCTCTCTCTCTCTCTCACTCTCTTCAAATAAAATTAAAAAAAAGAACAGAAAATCTCTCACTTTCAAAGTACACTGAATCACATTTTACTAAAATACTTTCCCATTCATTGAGGACCACACCATTTGAAAGCTCTTTACCCAGCATGACCACATTTTAGCCTTGCGTGAACCGGAGAAAGGAGGTGGCATAGTTAATATTAGAGCTCCTTTCTAGGCTAAGATATAGGGACTTGGATATATATGCCTTCAGGAATGAGAAAAACCAGGATTCGAACCTGGTCTTTTGTTGAATTTTAAACATAGCCTATTTTGGTCTGTTCAGGCTGCTGTAACAAAATACTACAGTTTGGGTGTCTTATAAATAAGAGAAACTTAATTCTTACTTTTCTGGACACTGGAAGTCAAAGCTGAAGGCGTCAGCGTGGTTAGGTGAGGGCTGGCTTCCAGGTTGTGGACTTCTCACTATGTCCTCCCCTAGAGGAAGGGACTAAGGAGCTCTCTGGGCCCTCTTGCCTAGGAGTAGTAATCCCATTCATGAGGGCTCCACTCTCGTGGAAACACCTCCCAAAGGCCCCACTTCCTAATACCATCATCTCTGGGGGGTAGGATTTCAACATAGGAACTTGGGGGGATCACCAGCATTCAGACCATACCGGGGTCCTCTTTTGGGAAGGACATAGGACTGCCAGGAACAGAGGAATCACTTTGTAAAGTAATTTGTTTTTATTTCTTTGCATTCCTGAGAAGTTTGGAGACTGCATGAGCACCCCAGGAAAGCTGAATTCTAGGGATTCCTCTTAGATGAAGATTTGAATCTTTTAAGATGGAAAGTAGCACCTGCACTGCTCAGGACTCTTGCAACCAAGGCCGTTGTTCCTCAGGGCCTTAGCATATATTGGAGGGCTCAGAACCTGCGAGCCAGGGTTGTCCCAAGTATGTTGTGAATCCACTGCATTTACCAGCCAGCCATATTATATACAGAAAAATCTTAATCTGTTCATAGTTGTTTTTGGTTTCTGATTATAAAAGGTACCTTAATTTGTGTTGGACATGCTGAACACCACTTTTATCCAAAGGAAAATAGCTGGTATCCTGTGAATACTTTATGAAAATATTTTCAGTGTGCAGTCAGTACACAGCTGAACTATATTGCTGGCTAGCTACCAGTTCACAAATGCAGTATGAACTTAACAGGTCTACTTTTTAAACAATGACAAAAGTGCTACAGGTGATTTTTTTTTTTTAAATAGACATAACAATTGTACATAGAGAAGTCAAAGTCCTGCTCTCTCCCACTCTTGTGTCTTAGAGGTAACACCGCACACTGTTTTCTCTGTATATATATGTGTGTGTGTGTATATATATATATATATGAACATACATGCACACACACATATATATGTGAACATACATGCACACACATGCACATGTTATTTTTAAAGGAGAGAATATTATATCATTCTATTTTCAACTTATTGAACCAATAATTGGAGATAAAGATTATTTCTAATACTGCAGTGCTGTCAATGATACTGCAATAAATATTCTTGTGCACAAAGCTTTGCCTTAGATATTTCTACTCAACTAGATAATTTCCTGGAAGTGGAATGTCTACATCAAAGGGAATGTACATATGACATTTTGACTATTGCCAAAAAGTTGTGCCCATCCACTTCCATCAACAGCATATAAATGCCATCTTATCTTACCTTTGCCAGTACTCTTACTTTGGTCAACCTGGTAAATGAAAAATAATGCCTTACTGCTTTAATTTTAGATTTGTTACTAGTAAGATTGAACTTTCCGGGGCGCCTGGGTGGCTCAGTTGGTTAGGCGACTGCCTTCGGCTCAGGTCATGATCCTGGAGTCCCGGGATCGAGTCCAGCATCGGGCTCCCTGCTCTGCGGGGAGCCTGCTTCTCCCTCTGCCTCTGCCTCTCTCTCTCTCTCTTTGTCTCTCAATAAATAAATAAAATATTTTTAAAAAGATAATAGTTAAAATTTATTTAATGCCGTGTGATAAGTACTTTACATAATTTGGGAGAAAACTTGTGAATTCTGTATTATTTTAATGTTCCCACCCCCTAGTAAAAATGAACCCAATTTTCCAATGCCAAATAGAGCTCAGGCTTATTTAAAACTACAAAGGGAACTTTGTGATTATCTCTTCTTCATGGGAGAAGAAAAAGTCTTTGAAATCCAAGTTTTAAAATGATATTTACATAAACTTCATGACTTTGAATTAAGTAATGGTTTATTAGGTATAACACCAAAAGTACAAGCAACCAAGTAAAAAATTAGCATCACAAAAATGTCAAGAAAAAAGCCACAGAATGGGAGAAAATATTTGCAAATCATATCTGATAAGAATCTAATATCTAGAATATGTAAGGAGCTCTTAATGAATTGAAAATAAACAGTTTTAAAATAATTTTAAGATGGGCAAAGGATTTGAAAGATGTTTCTCCAAAAACGTACATCAGTACCCAATATGCAAATGAAAGGATGCTCAACAATTAGTAATTAGGAAAATGTGAGCCAAACCATTACAAGATACCATTTTACATGCACTAGGATGACTTTAAAAAATGGAAAATAGCAAGTGTTGGAGAGAAAGTGGAGAGATTAGAGTCCTTTTTCATTGCTGGTGGGAATGTAAAATGACGCAACCTCTACAAAAAATAGTTTGGAAGCTCCTCAAAATGTTAGAGAGTTAATGTATGAGCCAGCAATTCCACTCCTAGGTACGTACCCTAAAGGACTGAAAACAAATGTTCACACAAAAGCTTGTACGTGAATGTGTATAGCAGTGTTATTTATAACAGCCAGAAACTGGAAACAATCCTGATGTCCATTAACTGATGAGCGCATAAGCAAAATATAGTAAGTATATCCATACAACGAAAAATTATTCGGTCAAGAAAAGGACTGAAGTACTGATACGCTACCACATGGATGAACCTTGAAAACACCATGCTAAGTGAAAGAAGGCAGTCCCCCCGAATCACTGATTATATGATGTCATGTATATGAAATGTCCAAAATGGGTGAATTCATAGTGGTAGAAAGTAGATACATGGTTACCAGGCATTGGAGGGAGGAGAGAGTGGGGAATGGCTGCTAATAGGTACAGAGTTTCTTTTTTGGAGTGATGACAATGTTCTGGAATAGTGATAATGGTTGCACAACCTTGTAAATATAATAAAATGCACAGACGTGTACACTTAAAAAACCACGTTTGCAAGGCTACTGTTAAGCACAGGACTGAGAATCAGGAGGTCTGGTTCTAAATCTCAGCACAATCTCTCACTAATTGTGTGAAACCCAGCAGGTCATTTAACTTCTGCTTCTCAATTTCTCATCCTCAAAATAGAATTAATATCTGTTTGACAAAAGCCGTTAAGATCAAATGAGACAGTCACTGTGAAATCACTTAGTGCAGTGCCTAAAATACAGTAGGTTTTCCATAGATGCCAACTGAACTGAAATTGGATGAATACAAATGAGCCGAGTAGGCTTTGATGAGTGTATATCATGTATGTTCGTTTTAGGCAGTCAGCCTCCAGTCAGTCTCCTTTGAACAGTTTAAAAGGAAGAATTGTCTTGCACTTAAAGAAGGCAATATAGTGTAATGGTTAAACTTATGAACTCTGAAACCAGACTGCCTGGGTTCAAATCCTCTTTGCTACTTACTGGCTGTGTGACCATGGACAGATTACTCAGTCTCTCTATACTCTGTAGATCTTAGAGTTCCCATCTGTAAATGGAAACAAAAGTAGTACCTATTGTCTAGGGTGTTGTTAATGGTACAAAGTAAGTGTTCAGGAAGTATCATATTTGGTTAAAACATGAAGCAGATGACATGTTAGGTCCTTGAAGGAAGGGATCATTGTCTCATTCTCCTTTGTGACACGTAGTAGAAGCCCAATGAATGTGGTCTTCCAGAGACAGGGAAGAACCAAGTTCAGGGTTGTTACCATTGCTATATCCATCTCCAAATTAAGCTAATTGGATGGTGTAGCTCAAATATGCAAAACAATTCTGGTCAATCTTCCTTGAAATTAACATAAAAATTAAACCATCTTTATTTCACTTAGTTTGTATTTAAGCTAATGCTTTTTAAAACACACCTTTACTACCATAACTTTAAGAACATTTTTCTGTTGGTTGTGGTATTATTCTTATAACAATACCTCTTTAAGCTGTGTACTCACATACTTTTAATTTAGACCCAGCTTCACTTTCCTAGAAAAATACACCATGCACGATATGCAATGCCTTTATTTCTAGGTCACAAAGCACTTAACAATTAAACAGGGATTATATATTCTTAGAGATAAATACACCTGGACCTAGGTTAATGGGTCTTGTTGAGTTCCTTGAAGCCAAATCATCAACTCTGAAGAGGGGAAGAATCCCTGAGGTCATCTAGTTCCTCTCTGATGT